CTCCTCCTCACCTCCCTGCTTCCCTCTCTATCCCTCACTTCCCTTTCTTTCTTTCCTCCATCCTTCTCCTCCCTCCTTCTTCCTCGAGACGGAAAGCTTTAGATCCACGAAACTTTCTTGTTCACGACATGTTTGAAACGTGTTTGTCACGGTGTTTCTTTCTCCTCCTTTGCTTTCTCTCGTTTTCTTTCTTATTTGCCGATATCCTTCTTCTCGTTTTCTTTCCATCAGTTTAATAAATGTTTTTTTTTTTCTATAAGAGTTCCAAAAATTTACATGATAATGATTTTGATAGTAATGGTATAAAATTCATTATTATCATCATCATCATTATCATCATCACAGTTTTCATCATCATCTTCTTCATTATTATCATTCATCATATACTTCGTCCTCATAATCCATCATCATCCATCAACAATATCAATCAATCATCATCATCATCATCATCATCACTATCATTAATTATCATTAACATCTCTTTATCTATCACTTTAATTTGACTTGATTCCGCTTTTCATTCTTATCTACATTACTTGCCTATCTATTTAGCCATCTATATATCTATATATAACCGTCAACCTGTCTATCTCTCTACCTCTCTGTATATCTTTCAATCTATCTATTTATCTATCTATCTATCTCGTTATTTTTTTTCTTAAGCCTGATATAATCCATTTAACTAAAATTGGCACCAACATTCAAAATGGCGCCAAAACAGCTGATCCCCATAACACCAACGCCCCCTCACGTAAAATATTGTAATTGCTCAGCTTTGCTCGACAGGGGGCGCTGTCCCCTACGTGGCGTGTTGACCTGTGCAGGTGATTGGTGGATTAATACGTCTATTCTCCTTTTCTCTTTCTCTTTTTCTTTTTTTTCTTTTTTTTTCTCTTACTCTTGTTTCCGATTATCTCTCTCTCTCTCTCCTCGTTCTCGTACTCTCTCTTTCTCTTTCTCTCTACTCTCTTTCTCTCTCTCTCTCTCTCTCTCTCTCTCTCTCTCTCTCTCTTCTCTCTCTCTCTCTCTCTCTCTCTCATCTCTCTCTCTCCTCTCTCTCTCTTCTCTCTCTCTCTC